AGAAAAACATCCTAACTGCTTGTCCAATCTCTCTTGCTGCACTTTAAAACCAGTTCTTGACAAGTGCTATCATTTGCCTTTATTCTTTTTAGCCCCTGATTCCTACAGGTTTTGAGTCTGTTCCTGTTATTTCACACTTTATAATTTTGTTACCCATCTTGACCAGGACTCCCTGCCGGAAGAGATACTGTACTCAGTGGGACCTTTCTGGTTAAATAAAGGATGAATATATAGAATAAATATCTTAACTGAAGTTTCAAATATAGGAACAGTCCCATCTTCCAATTCCAGAAGTAATTCGTAAACTCATTGCTGTGCCCTATCTTATCAGACCTCCTATTTTATCTTGAGAAATCCAAATCATGACTGCAAATTTGATTATTATTCAATTAGCACTCATCCTGCCATGCCTGTATCTATGCTTAGAACGTACACAAGACTGCCTTTATCTTTGATTAGAATGCACTTGCAGGCTACTTGACATGGACAAACCATAGTATCAACAGCTCGCACTCTTTATAGGCGAGCTAGATTGTTATCATTGACAACTTTAGCTATGAGGGGTCAGACAAAATTAAAACATCAAATTAATAGTTAAAATAAATCAAAATTAATCCACTTGACAGCCAATATATACCCATGAATATATTGTCCAAGCATCATCATACCGATGAGTAGCCTGATTGAGTAGCCTTTCAATTCTCATATTTTGTTCATGTTGTTTAGTATGTTCATCCTCATTGCCATACACACCAAACAGTGCTGCTGCCAGTTGGGGCAGATATTTTGGACTCAAAACCAGGTCTATGTCATCCTATTTTAGGATCCTAGCTTGGGAAATCCCTATGTTAGGGTGGTTCGGCAATAGCTAAATTCCTATCCTCAGATAAGATAGGATTTTTTCCTGCATGCAGGGAATCCTAAATGTCATCCCAAACTGAGATAAGATAGGATTTCAGACTCAGGGAGTTTCTGTAATGAGACCCCTGGAAGCAAAAGAGAACCATGCAGTGAAAATGAGGCAGAAGACACCTCGGACTGCAGAGCAGGGGCTTCATATGAGCTCGACCTTTCTTTCTTCCTTTGGCCGCCAGCTGCACCTCCACTGCAGACTGTTCCCAGCTTCACTTAGGCATCAACTGTTCAAATAATTACTGCCGCCCATCATATCTGACCCAGAGGTCCAGGCCTGCAGTTCAACAATCAGAAGCCAACAACTAACTGAAGTCCTCTGACACAGGCAATGTTTCACAGTCAAACAATTCAAGGTCTTTCACACCGGGGCAGAAAAGCCTTATCCATTGGCTGCAGAGTTTGCAGGGATATGGGAAGACATACTTGACCCATATAGAGAGCTTGTAAGCAAACTTCGACCCTGAACCTTTCAAGATGTCTGAGCAGTGGTTTGAGCACTCTGACTTTTACCTTGTAGGACCCGTTCCCATCTCCTGCAGTTTCACACATCTACTGATAATGGTTGACAGGACAGCTAGAGAGCCCGAGGCAGTTTTGCCATCATTTTCAGAGACTGTGGATGTGGTCAGTCTCTGTGTTTCCCAATTCGCCTCAGGTTTCAGGGCCGCAGGATTTCATCACACCAACTACCAGCAGACTAAAAGTCAGCACAGAATCATCCGAGGATCAGTTTCCATGTGTGCCATTTCCTTATCTACAGAACATATAGTACATGCAGTTCGTGGGCATATAGAGATTGGATCCCTTGTGGTTTCCCTTATCTGAAACAGTTTACTAAAACCTTACCTAACTCTGACAAACCTCTGAAATCTTGGGGTATGTAAAGAAAGGGAGCTGGGTGAATGAGCGATGATAATATCCTTTGCACAATTCACTCTGTGATGTACAAAAAAGCCATGAGAACGCTTAACCTTTAAAGGCCTTTTGAACAGCCCAATCAGCCTAAAATATAGCTTTTAAATCTTTACAAAGGTCTTTTCTTTCTGGGGGGCAACTGTTTTGCTTTGCTCACACCAGCTGGGGCAAATTTGTAAGGTAGCATGCTGAGAGTTTGGAGAAAAAGTGTTGCTTAGTCCTATCTGAAAAGAAAGGATGCTAACCCTTGACACTTTCTGGGAAACTTTTCAATCGGCAACAATACCAGACTGTGGTTTTACTGATTAGTGGTCAGTTATGACAATATGTGAAGCTGTATGCAAGTTTTAAAACTGTTGTTAAAGGAAAACAATGTGTTCTCCTGCCTACACTGATAACTGAAGGTCAGATCATGTCATGGCTTTTCCTATAAAGTCAGTACAACAGTACACTCTACTGAAAACCAATACCATTCAAGGAAAGCACAAAGCATACCAACATGAGCAACTTTGGGACATCTGTAACTTAAATGGTTAGACAGACAGCAAAAGGGTTATGAATATGGCTGCCCTAGCTGATCCAGTGATACTGCTGAGTATAGGCTTATATAAGGTCTTGGGCAGCTCCCAGTGTGTATGCACTGTATGTGAATGTGTTGCATTGCAGTGCTGCAGAGTAACATACTCAGCAATCTTCTTGGATAAGTAACGGTTTTGAAATAGATTAATAAGCACCATATATTTTGTTGATAACTGAGCATATAAAAAAGAGGTTCTCACTTTACTGAGAACAGCATCAGCTAATCAGCAATTAAGATTCATTATTTATGTCACATTAGCATAAATCGTTTCTAGTGCATAAGTGCATATATGTGCAGGTCATTCTTCGCACCCTGATTCAAATTGACTAACCCCTTTTTTCCTGAATGTTCTACAAGGTGCTGAAAGGAAAATGAAAAGCAGAGATCCATTAATCAAAGCAAACACAGTGTTGTGTGATGTGTCTGGAGAGTTGCATGTGTGTGGTCTTTTTAGCATCGGATTCATGCGTGGTGAGCGATGGCCCGAAGTGGCAGACATGACTAGTTGTCATTGAAGTTGGGGCATTGATCAATCATGCCCCAAGGTTGTTGGCGGGTGCTGAGTGGCATGTTTTGTGTGGCATGTGTGGTTTCGCGTGGGTCACAAGGAGCACGTCTCCCTGCGACATGGACAGTGCAAGGACAGAACAAACAGTGTACATGATGAATGGCCCCACACTGTGCATGCAGTTGGGGGCTTCCTCTTTATTCCCCTGCACTGATATAGGCATATGTTATGTCACTTTTTACACTGTTTCATACGAATAGCCTATAGTATGCTTGAGGACTTAGAGAATGTAGCTTTTTAAATTGAAATTTCTTTCTGTAAAATGTTTTTTTTCCTCTTATGAAAGATGCATAAGATAAAGTCTATATAACCCATCCCAACTGCAGTATTTTCTTGAACACATCTGCTAAACCATGAAGTTTTCTTAATTAAGCTTTTGGTAGTGCATGATCGCCATCTCCTGGTTGATTTCTGAACTGCACGCACTGTTGAGCCACACAAGTCCAGCTCACATAATCTTATCTGCCAGTATGACTCAGTGCTTTAGTACCACAGCCCTCAAACACACATCCTAACCACATGTCTCCCTGTGCTTCCAGCCCACGTTGAAAGGAGTTAAGCACCGAGATCCGACGGAGCGTAAAGCTGGTGGAGGCAGCAGCTGTTTGAACTGGTCAGCTGGGTGTGGGCCAGTTTCTGCAGAGCACTTGGCAGGCCGGCTGAAAGTGGAGTAAATGTTTCAGGCAAGAGCGCTGTCTTCCACAGTGGAGCATACTGTGTACTAAAATGCATTATGTTCAGGGCTTTTGCCCCTACTCTGCTAAATAAACACAAGGCCAACTTTGTGCTTTTACTTTTATTAACAAAAAAATAAACAGAGGAGCCTCATTCCAGACTGGGATTTTATCACAAGCAACTTTCTATTAACACTGAATAGTTACCAAAAAAAAAAGAGAGAGAGAACTTAAATAAGGGGCCATTTTAGTGCTTTTTCATGCTGTGGTTCATTTACAGCAAATGACATTCCTGCTGTTTTTTCACGGGGTTTTAGAATTGCTAACGTGATTTCCTGCACCTAATCTGATTGCAGAGACTTGAAAGTTGGGTAGCCATCATTTCCTTTCTTATTTTTGTCTAGGTTACGTCATTGTTGCATGGTAACGTGGTTATAAGAGCAGACTGATCTGAGAGGTCTGCACTGAATTACCATGCAACAAACCTCCAGGAGACATAAATAACAGCAGACAGAGAAGCTGACTTTCATATCACGATGTTAAGCAGCCTGGATGGATGGAAAAACACATTTAAAACATGAAACCATGCTGAAAATATTCAGTATAGGTAATTTAAAGCAAATGGACTACCAGCATTTCAAAATGCAAAACACTGAAGTTGCCCTACACAAAGGTCATTCAGCAGGATTGTTAAAACAGTGCATTTACTCCTGTGCTTGGAACAATAATCACGGGTGGCACTCAGAAAGGTGAACGTCAAATAAAATTGTTTATGAAATCTTAAATAGGGGTCAAAAAATTTAAAAAAACAACAATTTAAATGTAAAAATAAAAGGTTGAACTTGAATTTTTACATGCATTAAGTGCATTAAGGAACAACACAAAGAAAAGCTCATCAACTTTCATCACTGAAATGATGAATCATAATATGGCAGGTCAGACAAACTTGATGGCACTCGGCTGGTGGTGCTCATAGCTCCAAAACGAGCTATGGCTGATAACTCTAACACTCACACCAAAACAATCTAGATTGAAAAACAGCTTTTCAAGTAAGAGAAAAAATGATGTTTTTAATTTGGGGATGAACTGTCCCTTCAAAAGAACAACATCCTATGTCTTACATCCCTATGATACATCTGAAAACCACCTATACTGTAATTAAACAGTAAGGACAAACTGAGTGACTGAGACAGGATATTGGTGGAAACTCTAATATGGAAGGTGCCCTCAGACGCAGCAGAATGTCATCCAGCTGTGCTGCGAATTTATAGTGTCTGATAAGAAAAATCAGACACGGATATTGCGACTTATACAGGAGGAGTGAGAGAAGCCACACTGAATACAAAAATACTGTGTGGGAACTTTAATTTTCCAAATATTTAAACAAATGAAAAAAATATAAAAATAAGGATGTTTTACAGTTTTTGGTCATGAATGACAAAATAAATTAAATATTACAGCTGCCACAAGTCACTGTCTTCTGAACTGGAGCCACTGGAGTTGCTGGTGGTGGAATCCGAAGAACTGCTGGAGCCGATGTGATGATGAGGCGCAGCTTGATTGCTTTTCTCTGGATGAAGGGAAGTAAAGGAAGCACCGTCACCACAGAGACTGATGGAATTTAAATGTTTTGGGTAATAAGCACTTTAATATCAAAAGATTCAAAGAAAGAAGGCAGCAAGGGTTCACACTTACTTTGAAATTTCTTGAACTTCTTATACAAACAAGACCTCACATATTGCTCCAGCTCCCGCAGAGTGGACGGCTTCAGTATCTCAAAGTCGATCTCGATCTCGTCCGGGTTGCTGTCGCGCATCGAGGGCTCTCGTGCTTGAATGATGTGCACCACGCGGCCCAGCTTCACGCCGGATAACCGGTTAATGTCAAGGCTCAGCTGGTGCTTCTCGTCGTACGTCATTTGCAGGGTTTCATCATCAGAATCCCAGTCTTTGCTTCCCTTCCACGACTGCCTGAAATTCAACACAAAGCAGTCAAAGGTCTCCATATGGGAGTGACATAGCACAAAAATAGAGCCCTTCAGTTACAACATCCTACCTGGAGCTGGGATTTGTGCTGCCTCTCTGTTGCCTGCTGTCCTCTTTCTTGTCCCTGTCTTTCTTCTTTGGTTTAATCACAGGGACTTCAGAGAGTGCAGAGAGCTGTTCGTGGACAGCTTTAAGCTGGGTAGAGTGGTAACAGAATTGGGCTTTTGTGGTACCACATAGCAGCATTAAAATAATAAGTGCCAAGACAAGTAGCAGCACTGAGAAATCAAGCTGGAGACTAGTTGCTGTGTGCCGGCAAGTCGGACGGGAATGCAATATAAAGTGTTAGAATAAACCGAGGAAGTTCCGCTGAGTGATTTACTGTATGCCAGGCCGAGCCGGGCTCAGCAGGAGATCTAATCAGTGAACAATATCCTCTCCAAACAATGAGGAGCTGCAGAAAAGGAAAAACATCTGATATACTTTATGCATCTATTTCTCCCTGCTGTTGCCAGAAAATGAGGTGACAGAAATATTTTGTTGTGGGGGCAAATCAGATCTCATCGCACACCAAGTCCCTCTCAAGATTTTGAAAGATTCTGCTTCCTGAATATTGCAGGAATTTGCTGGTCATGTGACCCCGCTATGTTTATACAGAGTATGGTGCCTGTTACATGTTGGCAAATGAATGGGCAGACCTGAGGCTACTGGATTTGCTGTGTGTGATTTGAATGTATACAAATGACTTTACACCACACACAGTGAGGGCGTAGTCTACCAGTATTTAAAAGGAAAGGCAAAGGAGAAGGTCGATGAATCCATCAGGAGAGCAGACTGTAACTATGGTTGCTCTCCGTTTATTTGTCATGAAAACAGGTTTGGAGCAGCAGGCAATGATGCTAAATAATAATAAAAATCTGGGTTAGAGATCAGTAGAAACCCACCTGTTCTGCACCCACCTGTTCTTGCAACTCAGCAAGTCGGGTGGCACGCTCCTCTGCTAACTCCGATTTGTTGAAGTTGGAGGAGCTGCTGGCAGCTACCCCGCTAAAACCTGCACTCTTAGCGGACCCAGCGTTCATCGGTGAGAGCGGCTCCACTGTCTCGTCTGGCATCTTTGCAAACCTCTGCTCGAACACACCCTAAAGGAGAGACAAGTGAAACAGAAAACTGAGCCTGAAGAACAAGTGGAAAGAATTCTTTACTTATCAAATTTCATAACTCAAAACACACCTGTAGTTTTCTGGCCCTTGTGACGACGTAATGATTTGGAGGGTTGTATTTGTAAGAATTGGAAAAGATTAGCCTAATGTCTGCAGCGAAGCTCTGTGCATCCTGGTACTCTCCTCTCTCCATCTTTTTCTGCAAATAAAAAAGTCAAAGTTACAAAAACAACACAAATCATGACAATTACAGAAAAATGAATTTGTATATGAAAATGTACAGTTTATACTTTAACAGTGCCGAGGTCCATGGGGTATTTGATGATGTCGTGGTAATCGTGCAGCTCCAGAGCCTCGGCGTCGACAGGCTTGTAGAAAGGCCAGGCATAGCTTATGTATTTCTTCGACATCAATTCCTTCAGGATCTCGTTGCAATACTTGAGCTGCTCGCTTCCTTGCTGTGGCGACTCCTTTCCTTCAAAGTGCTCCTCAGAGGGACTGCTGACTCGGCCTGCGCTCTCACGTCTCTTCTTGCTTCCTGATAAATCACTCAAACTGGTTATGGCTGCTGAGGACAATTCAGTGGTGGCGTTTACCTTCCGTTTCAGCCCTTTCTTCTTCATTGGCACAAAGGACACCACATTAAGGTAAAATGCTCTGTGATTTTAAATGACATGATTGAAGGTGAGAGAAATAAACAGCGACTCACTTTTGTGGCAGTGTGTGAAGGGTGTTCGGGCACTGGGGGTGAGCTGGAGGGAGTGTAGCTGAGGCTTGGCTGAGATGTGGGTACTGTCACCGGAGAACATGGAGTCACAGTTCCAGTCTGTCCACCTGTATACATGTATTAAACACAAGTTAAAGGAAAAAGAGAATAAACATGAAATATATATCTTAAGTAGTAACATCATTATTTCCATTTTCTAGGTTTCAAGGTGCCTCGAATATCTGAAGAGCACACACAGGCCTGATTATCTTAGTGGCAGTGAATGCGTGCAAGTGCATCTCCAGCATGTACACATAAATGATTAGAGAAACACCCACCATTACCATGTTAATAGCTGTATACGTTTCCACTGCGTGTTATAATTTAGGTGGAATGAGAAAAACATGCTTAAGGACGAAACCCAATTTCAGTTGATTCCAAATTTAACCTCGCCAGAGGACCCGCAGGGTACAAAGTCTATAGTTTGGAGCACTGAGTAGTGTCGTTGCAAACAAAATGAAAAAAGAGAGGCTGAGGGTCACTGATGCAGCTAATCTCAGCTGCTGGCAAAACTGACTGAAATATGCCGCTTTTATGCACACAATAAGGCTACTAAGATAAACGACTGCAATGATATTCAGTGTTTGTACACATCCTTATAATTTTAATCACTAAATTAAGGAAATTTATTTTAAGGGAGATCTTTTGACTTTTATTAAGGAAGTATTTCATTGCTGGAGAGATCGTTTTTATAAAATTAGGCTGTCTATACTACTTCACCTTTGAAAGTAGTGCTACATGGCCAGAGAAATCAAGAGGTAAAAACTCAACAACTACCAGAATGCGCTGCGCCACATTGGACCAATAAACACTCCCACTGGTGGGTGATGTAATGCAAGCTCGTCCATTTTGACACAGGAAACAATACAGAAGCTGGCTGGTAACAAATGATCTCAAGTTACAGTTAAACTGTAAGCTTAAATATGCTTCTGAAAACATTTGTCGCAAGAAACAGGCAACGTGCAACAGAATCTGGGTTAATACTTTATCAGCACTGTCTAGTTTTACCATCTGATCTCAGTTTTCAACCTCCATTTTCACCATACAGGAAACAGTATGGTGGCCAGTTCCTGTTCACAAACTCTCGTTTTACAGCCAAACAGTGCACTAAAATATTTTTCTGGAGACAGATTAGGCAATAGGAGATACATTAACAGAATCTTAAGTCCCTTTTACACTGCCAGATTTTCAGCAAATGTTGGGCCGTTTTGCCGGCAAGCTGTGAGCATTTAGACACATAGAGCTGGACTGGCGAGTTGATCCGAGGTGCCCAATTTTCTGCCTCGTAGGGTAGACATATTGGCAGAACCTTTTTGGTTTAAACAGACCGAGGCGGCCTTCCGCCACGGGAGGGGCTGTTGAAGACTTGTGGGAGGAGCTGTTGATGACGCCACACATGCGACCCACTGGCGGTGGACTAACGGGGAACAGGAATGCAGGAATGAGCAGCTAGTGGCAAGAGGGAAACGCAAACCTGACAGACACTGTAAAGATGAGCAACTGGGGAGACAAGGAATAGGGCGCCCTCCTTGCCCTCGCAAACGAAGAGGCCATTAACCGTCAAATGACGGCGACGGTGAAGAACGGGCCGACTTACGAGAGAACTGCCGAAGGACTGACCAGCCGCGGCTTCCCTCCCACGTCACTGTTTACATCACACGCCGAGCTACACGTTTTGTTACTTGCTCACGCCCCCCATTGCCCCGAAAAAGGCGCATTCTGTATGAACAAAAGTAGGTAGGCGGCATTTTGCTGCACTCCTCGATTTTGTTTTTATACTGCCAATGCTGAAAGAAGACTGATTGGGCTTTCCTGCAAATTTGCACAACTCCTATTCAAAAAGGGCTAATAAGTAACCAGACGCAGCATCACCTTTGTTCAAACATGTGAATTAATTACCTGGAGCGCCACCTTTTTTGCCCCTCCCTTTGGCAGCATGAGGTAACACCTCCTTTTCCCTCTGTGGCATCTGGGCAACCTTTTGCAAGAAAACCTTTTCCAAAGCGAGGGCCATCAGCACTATGTCATCTGTAGGCTGGAGGACAGAGGGGAATCCGTGAGGGTTTAGTTTCTGTGACGCTAACCAGTGTGGTGCATTTCCAATCATGAAGCTCCTCACCTTGTTATAAGAGTAGCAGTTGGTGAACATCTTGTGAAAGTCTTGCATACATTCGCTTGCGCTCCAGTAGTAGTTGTTTTCCAGTCGTTGCTTGATGGTTCCCAAGTCCATGGGAGATGTTATTATTGTATGATAATCCTGATTGAGAAAGAGAGTGAACATGTCACATGTATGTAGCCTAGCTTTTTGTTTTTGTCCTACATCTTTAAAAGAATCTGATAATAAGAGAACAAGTCCTGCATTTCTTTAAGGTTTTCAACTGTCAAGACAATACCAGTTTACTACAATTCGGGTCTTATTTTGGCCATAATTCCAGTCATAAAATCATAATACTAAATACTAAATTATTATACTGAGATTAGACGGAGCTAGAAACCCAGGGTTTCAAACAATCAGATTAGCCAAATTTATGTGGAACTGAAAGTCAAAATGAAGGCCAACAGTTTTCCTGTGCAATGAGGGATCATTTCAGTTGCGCTCACTTTCAGTTTTACCTCCTTACAAAGTGTTTTCGATAATCTGCCTAACATGTTTGCTGGTTTAAAACTTGTCTCATTGTCTGACCACTTGTAGTAACAATGTCACCATGCTACTATTAATTAAGGTGAGTACAGTGTTATCATCTGATAGCACCCAAAGTGTAATAAACTGGAATTATTCTCTCACAAGATATTAAGCTTTGCATACAATTTTGGTTTCATCTCATTCAAAAGCAGTGTCTGGATTATAACTGAATTATCCACCCTTTTAATTGGAACTAATTAAGAGCTACAGTAGGGACTACTTAAAAAAATAGTCACTCTAAATTAGTTAATTAAATTAGTTAAATTCCATAATTAGAGCACCTACTTAAATGTATTAATTACTATGTAAGGACATGCAGTATTGTTGATTCAAGGTTATTGTAAAAATTCTGGGGTTATTTGTTATGTTATATGTATGGGATTCATAAATATTGGATGAGACTGTGTGATGCCACATTCCAGTGTCTCTGTACTCACTGTGTTGTGTTGTTTTAAATGGGATGTGCATGAGGATTAGGAGGCAACCACAACCAAGAGAGAGACAAAAAACAGTGGTGAACAAAACTTAAAACAACAACAACAATAGCTGCCATGAAAGAATGACAAGAACAAAGGAAAGCTAAGGATTTAGAAGCAGTTTTACTTCAGTGGAAGAAAAGAGGGAAACAGACCATTTCCAACACAGCAAGACAAACACAGGAGACATTTTAGACAGATGACAGACAGGTACACAGCGGAGTGTCTGTGTGGACAAAATAGTGGAAAAATAACATTGTGTTGTTGTGCATCACATCCCTAAAAAACAACAACAATATTTATCAAAATTGCTAGTTAGTAAAATAGCAGGCAAAGATCTGATTTCTAATTTTCAAACACCGCTTTGGAAGCCAGATTTGGGCTTACCTCAGGGATTCATTTTCTGATGTGTTTTTGGCTTGCAAAATCAGGTCAGGTGATAGCTACATTATTTTTTTTTTTTTTTTTTTTACTTAGATTCTACTTAATTTGAACAATCTGTCTACAAAACATGCATTCATTTGTTTTTGCATACATAAATAAATAGAAATATTTTTTTAAAAATGCAACAAACACGACACACTGCAATGTGTTGTGATAAATTCTGGATTGAAAGCATCTTTAAAAGTTTAAATAGCACTGACAACATTTGCAAACTACTCACTGGTAGCCCAAGACGGACTGCATCAACAGGGGTGTAAAAAGGCCAGGCGAATGCGTGCCGCCACAGGGATTTGATCACTACATTCTTCATGTACTGCAGCTGGTTGGTCCTCCGGCCTGGCTTGTTGGGGTTGGTCACCTCAGGAGGTGGAGGATTCACAAGCTGAGGGGGGTCCGGCTCTGTGTCTGCTGACATGGCAGGGGCAGCTGGAAGCGACCGGTCTTCAACGAATGAACACGACCTCTGAGGGTGTCTGTTATCTCCTGCAGCTTCTGTCAGCTACATGAAAGCCGCTCACTTCAGTCATAGTTTTCATACCAGGCAATGTGATCTGTTGATATACAAACAGAGTTATGGGAGTGTGGTAGGTCAAAGATCATTCCTGCAGTCCAGAAATCAGAGATATACAAGAAACAGCCTCTGCAATGGACTCTCAACAATGAGAGGTCACGGCAGGATATACAAGCACAATAAATTCTGTCTATATTTGGATGAGAACAACAGACTCCATACCAAGGTAAACTGTCTAACTTGTAATATATGTATGCAATATAAAGCATAACTGAAGTTTCAAAGATGTTTATTCTATCTGGCTGTTCTCCACATTTACAGCTATATGACACTGGGCTATGTTAGCATGTTTTTCAACTGCTGTGAGTGACTCCGTCTTTTTGTTTTGTTAACACTATATCAGAGGTGACTGAAATGTTTGTTCCAATTGTTATTGTTATTTTAATCATTTTTTAAGTTTTAAATAGTAGCTTTCTCTGTTTTAACGCCCTGGGGTGTTTTATTGTCACGTTGCACAGGAAATTAGAAAAAATGGCCAAAGGTCATGGAGATTTCAACATTAACACATGGCTACTAAACAGTTGTCAGTTTGGTATTCGTAAGGGATTCAATTTTGAAGAGGTTAAGAAAGTGAGGATAAAATAAATTCATTTCCACTTCCTCCTATGGCAAAAAGTGGTGAATTTCAATATCTTAAATGAGATTTATCCAACAAACAAATTCTTAAGGTTGAGATTTAATTTTGATGCAAATAACTGTACATTTTGTGACAAGAAAGTTTAAGTTTGCAACATGCATCTCTTTTTTATTGTGATCCATTGCAGTCCTTTTGGAGTGATATGCAGTGTTGGCTACAGTCCAGGGAGACTGACATGTCACACTTGTCAAATTTGGTGTTTAGATTGAAAACAAGGATGTGGGGAAGTTTTTCATTCATAAATGTAGATACTTAAGGACGAAACCCTGTCTGAACCACTGGAAGAATGAGTTAAAACTCTATTGTAAGTCACTGAAACTTGTTAAAGACAAGAAAGCTCTTCAACTGTTATCATTACTAGATATTTTAAAATTAATTTGAGATATCCCTATTCTTATTTGGTGTTGTCTGTATATGTGTTATGTTTAGGTATTTTGTTTTATTGTTTGATATCCTTCATTTCCTATGTAGTTTACTTTTGTAGACAGTTGATACCTGAGCTACAGGACTTGGAAATGTCACTTCTTTGTTTGTATTTGCTACACTCAATAAGAACTATTGTAATAAAAAAAAAAGTTGGTGGTTTGGTCATAGAAACAGTATAGCTTCACATATAATCAGTATTACAATAAAGTTTATAGCAATGAATAAACCTACTAGCTTTAACCTCTTGACAAGTTACTCTAAAAGCTGACTTAACGCTGAACAGACTGCAAATAATTAGCCTGGCAGGATTTTTAAAGTACAATTACTAACTAGCTAACGTTGGCTAGCGAAAGTCAGCTCACAGTGCTGCTAACTTAAAAACACACGTCGCCATTTAATATAAGTAATAATGTTAGGCGTTAGCATAACTAAGTTTCATACTGCCTACTTGGGATATGACATACAATAGTCAGAAACAGTCCAGCTTTGTTTTAAAGAGGTCGAGTTACACCACAAAGTTTTAACAAAGAGCTTTGACGACACTAGCGTTACCTTACTAATACCTGTCGTCCTCAAATAACGGAAACAATAGCGCAGGGGATGACGGGACAGTCACGGTAAAACACAAAACTAACCGATAACTCATGACGAACTCATCCTAACAAGACACGTTGAGAGTATAAACGCTAATAAACTTAAAAAGAGGCGACACACAGCTCAGAAACACAACTAGAAAGAGCAATTGAGTCCCGAGTGCACCGTTAGACCAACTTTGAAACTGAAAACTTTGTTACTGAAACAGACCTTGACGAGCTTTCCTTCTCTGGTAGTGGATTGGAAACAAAGATGGACACCGCCATCTACTGTTCTGGAGGGTGTCTTCCTTCTTCTTCTTCTTCTTCTTCTTCTTCTTCTTCGAGTATTAATAGCGGTTAGCAAACTAGCTTTGCCACCCACTGGACTGGAGTGTGGAGGAGTAGCTTGGCAGGAAATAAAATAAAATAAAATAAAATAAAGCAATGTAAAATAAAATAAAAATAATTAATAATTTTCCAGAAACTTAGCAAAGAAAGTCTGGTCACACCCTAATAAATTCCTCATTCAAAAAAAAAATAAAAATAAAAATATTAAAATTAAAATTGAAAATATATAAATAAATAAATAAAGAAAAATATGAAAAGAATAGAATAAAATAAGTTCTCTGAATTTTCCATCTTGCTCTTAATTAATCAAATAAAACCTTAGATACTTTCCTTAAAGTAATACTGTGCTTTTCTTCAGTTACTCCTGCTTTTAACCACCTTCTGTCTTCATCATATCTGTTACAATCTCCTAGTACACGCTTGACTGTTTCCAGTTCGTTACAGTGCATACATAGTCTAGTAGGATGTCATATCCTTAGATAGGAAATGACCATCTCCTCCCTTGGGCTCCCACTCAGTATTCCACCTACATGTATTTGAATACTGAAAAGAAATCTTCCCGTGTCACTGAAGTCCCTGAATTCCTGCCAGGTTTTGTGCATACAGTCCTTTATGATAGTTTAACCTCTTCTTTACTTACTTGCATGTCAATTGACTGTCGTTTTAATGATTGTTTAGCCAATATGTCTACTTTCTCATTTCCTCCCACCCCTACATGAGCAGGAGCCCAAAGGAAGGAGATATTCAATCCCCTGTAATGTAGCCTGAGCAGCACATGATACATTTCATACACAATATCCTGGCTGCATGAAGACTTTCAGACTTAATGCTCAAAAATGCTGACATGCTGACACTAAGTTGGTTATGTTCTTCCACCCACTGTAATGCTAATAATACTGCAATTAATTCCGCCGTGTACACTGACAGGTGGTCTGAGATTCTCTTTTTAACTGCTGCCTCACAATGAGGCATGAAGACTACAGCACCTACACGCCTGCTCTCTGGTCTGCACTGGTGATGATCAATATAGCTTTGCACTATTGTCCACTGGGGTTCTTATTTCAGTTTCCTCTTTTAATTTCTGTTGCAAACTTGTAGGCTTGATGGCATAATGTATCTCCACAGAGGTATAGCTGATAATGGAACACTGGGGATTAGTTTTAGATCTCATAGGCCTACATTTTGTGCCTGACCATCCCTACTCGAGCCATACTAATACATTATAATGCTAAATAAAATAGTTTGTATAGGCTATATACTTAGAGGGCAGCATAACATTGACTGTATTATTGTAATCCCTACAGCATATGTATTTTCCTTTTTATTACCATGATCAAATGGTGATAAAATTAGGCACACATTAATTGAGCTCAGATGTTTCAAACAGTAAACAGAAAAACCACCATTAAAACTAAAGTGACAAAATAAGAGTGTTTGCCTTTGTCTAAAAATAACTGTCAGTAACTATCACTTCCTTATCTAGTATTTGATACTTGTGTTGGCCTAAGATTTCTAATATCTTGTGATTATAAGTGTAACAAACGGCCTCTAAAGCTTTGTAATTTTCACAAACACACTCTTTGGGAGATTCCTTACAAACATATTTTTTCTTTACATTCATGTATAATATGGGATCAGTATGCAGGCCTATTGTCTAGAAACAAGTCCAAAGACATAAAGAATGGACTGATACATGTGTAATCTCCCTCTTAGATGTACTTACTGATAGAGGCAGCCTCTAAAAATGTTTCTCAGAAAGAATATAACCGTGTTATAAAACGCATACAGCCAAAGCTAGTGTTTTTCATCAAAATGCATTGTTATATGGCCCTTTGATTGGAGAAAACCACAAATTCTTAATTGGTGGGAAAGACCTATCTGATCATAAGTGTAATAATCAGCATATCAGAAATATATTGAGCTCACATCTGAGCTCCAAATCATTTTTTTTTTTTTTTTAATGAAAACTAACTTTTCCAGAAACTTAGCAGAGAAAGTTTGGCCAGACCCAAATAAATTCCTCATTCCAAATAAAATAAAATAAGTTCACTTGAAGATATTAGGCTACATAAATACTACCCCTGTAATACATTATTACAAACATTTAAAGGAGATATTTTTCCAATATGTTCTTTCTGTAAAACAGAATTGAATCAATTTCCCATATATTCAGTCCTTTCTCTCAAGAATTCTGGGTTGAAGTTTCTATTGATTTCTCTACGTTTTAATAGATTGACACCAATATTGGAAGACATGGTCTTGTTTCTGAACTGTAATAGCCTACAGGCTCACATTGTACTTACAGTGCTCTCAGGTTTATGTCTTGTTGGCAAATATCACATCCATAAGGAGTTCTTCAGGTTACACTAGATAGCCTATCTGTCTGTTTTGTGTTGAACTACAATATCTCTTTGACTCTGTTTCAAAGATAACAACAAACAAGAAAGCTATTACACATCTCAAATAATTGGGAAATTTCTATATAGCATTATAAAAACAAATAAAGTGTATTAGGCCTAAGTTTACATCTCCCTCATACAGTTTTGTCTAGGTCTATTAGTTTTGTTTCATGTTCTTGTCTTTTGTGATGTTTGATATTTTTATTTCATATATGATGTTAAAATGAGAATTTCTAGTGTTATAAAATGAAATATATGTATCCGTACAATATAATGTTGATTTAAAAGAAGTCTATTTGCCTTTGACGCTTCTTGTCCCTCATTAGCTTCCGTTCCTCCTGAAGGTACCGCGCATGCGCAGTGAATTACCACCACACCACATTCCCCGCTTCTCCTCGCAGGCAAACATCCAGGAGCGAGCCGTTTGATTTATGCGGTTCTCCATGATCGTCTGAATAAATCTGCGCTCATTTCTCCCTCCAGTGTTCCCGAGGATCCTCAGTGTGTATCCCCTCTGCATCAAACCCCGGTGAGTATCGGCTCGTGTCTGATTTCTCATTGTTTGAATGGAGGGCCCCTCCGCGGCAGCTCAACCAATTTGTCAACAGCATCAATGCGTTTAAAGCAGACGGCTCCACGATCAGCCTGATGTTAGCTTTCATATCAAACTGTTGGGTTTAAGATTGAGTTGGTATCTCTCTCAGTCGGGCTTCAAATCCTAAATGATGGAGTAAATATTTACAGTATGATGAAAGCTACTGTCAGACATGAACTTGCCAGGGAAGGATTGCGTGTCGTCCTTTGTTTCATATTTATTCTTTTCAAAAGTACTGCATTTAAATACGTATTAACATGAACGTTTTTGTAACTGACACCCTCTAACTACTCTTACTGTCCTAGCTAACTGTTTAAAATATTTCTGTTTAATCCCTTAAACGCTAAAAGTGCTAGTTAATGTTAGCTAGCTGCTTGCTAGCTCAAATAGCTAACTGGATTTATAGGTAATGCTAAGCTAAAGTAGAAAGCAGCCACGCAGTTTGCTATTGTAACAGCTAAAGACTATAAAATTCTTCCTAAAGCAGTAATTACAGCGGTTACTGAGACATACAGTGTCATTCCCAGTGGTTGTATTGCTCTGCAGCAGCACTTGCACCATGTGAGAACCACTGAGTTTGTAAGGTGTGCCGTGATACCAATCCAGGTGTGCCATGCAACTGGTATATTGCTGCAGTATTCAGTATGTTGTGCATACCCATTTCCTAATAAAGAGGCAAACTCTAGCTAAAAATGTAATTTCATTTCATTTAATTTAAAAAATGTATACAGGGAACCTATTTGTCACCATTTGCCAGTGGGAATTATTATTGTGTGACACATTAAAGCCCTGATTGGCAGCCAGTGTGAGGCATGATAACATTTAAAAGGAGAAACCTGTGAGTGGGACGATGGATTGATTTATTCTATGGAGTAAATGATAGTAAAGCACCAGCAAACTGTCAGTAGACACCTACGAAAGCTAATGGGCTTATTCTTTATTATTTTTATTGTCTTACGTATTGATAAGAGTTGTAACACATATTATAGAAGCTGTTGTGCACAGATATACATACATACAGGTGTGCCTTGAGATTTTGTCTTGCCCTCTGGTGTGCCTTGGGCACAAAAAGTTTAAAAACCACTGCACTAACTTGTAAAGAATGTAACTCTTAACTTATCTCAAAATCTGTTTCCTCTGTTTCAGTATCGTGCTCAGTAGATGCTCATTCCCTCACCATGGCAACAGAAGATAAGAAACCAGAGACCGACACAAAACCTCCAGTGGTCCCATCGGCATCTGCCAGTCAAAGCAAGGTTTGGATTTCCCTACATGTCTTTACTGTTTCCTGCAGCTTCCCATTCTATTGCAGTTTGTCACACAAAGTGATGTTTTGTTTCCTCTACAGTCTGCACCCGCTAAGCCAAACTACAGCCTGAAATTCACATTAGCTGGTCACACTAAAGCCGTGTCCTCTGTCAAATTCAGTCCGAGCGGAGAGTGGCTCGCCAGCTCATGTGAGTTCTTTGCCTGTTTTCTCTGGCATGTTTCCTTTAAACCACATATGGGCCACAGAGTATTAGTGCTGCAATAACAATTAGTTTATTATCTTTTAATCTGCAGACTATTTTATTGATTAATCGTTTAGTCTTAGAAATGTTAAACAATAGTGAAAAAAAGGCATTCACGATTTCTCAGAGCTGAAATGATTAACCTTTATCTAAATGGTTGCCAATTAATTTTGTTTTTAATTGGTTAATCAATTCATTGCTCAAGTCTACTGTAAATACTATTTTTATATATTTTATTTTTTTGCCTCTATCAGTATTTTGCCATATTATAAAACATCTGTTTAGAGTAGGGAGTCTAGATTTTCGGAGGCTGTTGCAACACTGACTTCATGTGTATTTTGTCT